ATCCCTCCACTGGCTTCCATCCTCTGCCCCCCCCTCTGCCAATCCCTCCACTGGCTTCCATCTCCTGCCCATCTCTGCCAATCCCTCCACTGGCTTCCATCTCCCGCCTCTCTCTGCCAATAACACCACTGGCTTCCATCCTTGCCCTTCTCTGCCAATCCCTTCACTAGCTTTCATCCCCAACCCTCTCTTCCAATAACACCACTGGCTTCCATCCTTACCCCTCTCTGCCAATCCCTCCACTGGCTTCCATCTCCCGCCTCTCTCTGCCAATAACACCACTGGCTTCCATCCTTGCCCCTCTCTGCCAATCCCTCCACTGGCTTCCATCCTTACCCCTCTCTGCCAATCCCTCCCCTGGCTTCCATCCTTGCCTCTTCTCTGCCAATCCCTCCACTGGCTTCCATCCCTGCCCCTTCTCTGCCAATCCCTCCACTGGGCTTCATCCCCCGTCTCTCTCTTCCAATCCCTCCACTGGTTTCCACTCACCCAACAAATAAAATTCAAAATATTAATGAAAGCATACAAAGCCCCAAGCTACATCCCCAACCTCATCTCAAAATTTCACCCAAACCGTCCTCTTCGCTCCTCCCAAGACCTCCTGCTCACTACATCCCTAATCACCTCCTCCCATCCTCATCTCCAGGACTTCTCTAGAGCTTCTCCCATCCTCTGGAACTCCCTAACCTTAATCTGTCCTCCTATGCTATCTATCTCCTACTCTGTCTGCCCCCTGAAAACTCATCTGTGTCTGAAAGTCTATCCCACCTCTACCATCCCTACTCATCCTCCACAGTTACATAGTATTTGAGGTTGAATAAAGACATAAGTCCATCAAGTCCAACCTGTTGTGTGTGTGTGTGTGTGTGTATAGGTCCATGAGTGTTCTCATTCTTAAGAGTACCTGTACCCTTGTACATTTCGGTCTCTCAGGAAGTCGTCCAAAAGCCTCTTGAATGATTCCAGATTAATTGCGGAAATTACCGCTTGAGGCAGTGAGTTCCAGACCCTAACCGCGCGAACTGAGAAGAACCCCCTTCGCCCCTTGTGTTCAAATTTTTTTTCTACCAGTTTTAGGTGGTGGCCTCTAGTCTTTGTTACGGAATTAATCTTAAAGAGTTTGTTGCTAATGTTGCTATGACTATGGAACATTTTGTACATGAAAATCATGTCCCCCCTTAATCTCCTTACTTCCAACGTAAACATGTTTAAATTTAGTAGCCGTGTCTCATAGTTCTGGTCCTCCAGCCCCTTGATGAGTTTGGTCGCCCTCCGCTGGACTTTCTCCAGTTCAAGGACATCCCCTCTGTGTACCGGTGACCAAAACTGCACCGCATACTCCAGGTGAGGCCGAACCATTGATGTGTAAAGTGGCATAATTACCTATCCCTGCAAAACATTCCTTCTTGATGCAGGACAGGATTCTACTAGCTTTGCTTACAGCAACCTGGCACTGTAATCTATTATTCAGTCTGTGGTCTACAGTGACCCCCAAATCTTTCTCCATTTCCGACTTCCCTAGCGGCATACCCATTATTGTATATCCCATTTGCCTATTATTCCTCCCAAAGTGCATAACTTTGCATTTATCGACATTAAGCCTCATCAGCCACATAGTTGCCCACTCCCCGATTTTATCCAGGTCCTCCTGCAATGTTACACTATCTTGGTCTGTTTCTATTACCCTCCCAATTTTGGTATCGTCAGCAAACACTGAGACATCGCTGTGTACTCCGTCCCCGTCCCCAGTTATTATCTTTTGTATCTCTTCCCTTTAACATTGTAAGCTCTCACGAGCGGGACCCTCCTGACCCTCTTATCTTAATCTGTAATGTAACTGTACTGTCTCCCTTCATATTGTAAAGCTCTGCGCAGACTGTTGACAATATACAAGTCCTGAATAATGATAATAATAATAAAAATACTGAAAAAAGAAATATATCCAAAAAACACCGTTCCAGTTTTCCTCTGATAAGAACCCTAATGAGGTATTACGCAATCATCTTTCAATGGCCTGTTTTCTTAGAAGTTCAAACTGAGAGCTGCTTGCGACTATCCGATTGACTTTGAAGTGGTGACGTCTGATGCCTTCCTGTCACCGTGTCATTGTCATCGGAGGAAGGGGATCCATTCAGCTGATTAACGCCATAACACCAGCATCTTTAGCCATGTTCTTACGTGGTCAGTGTCCTCATTTGCGTCACTTTTCCCAAACAGCAGCCGTGTCTGGCGGGTGTCGTATATTCAGGAGTTGTTATTGTATTATTTTTATTTTGCAAGCAATACCACACTAAATTCAGCTATAACGCTAGTTTATTCCTTTATAAATGTTATATACTAGATTAAAGATCTAATACTCTCTGTTTAGATCATTCAGATTTGGTATGGTATAAAAGGGTTCAATTATAATTTCTACATAACTCCAATGGTGAGATTCCCCCCAGTAGTTTGTGTCTCTGCCCCTCCCACAATGGTGAGATTCCCCATTCCCTAGCGGCATACCCATTATTGTATATCCCATTTGCCTATTATTCCTCCCAAAGTGCATAACTTTGCATTTATCGACATTAAGCCTCATCAGCCACATAGTTGCCCACTCCCCGATTTTATCCAGGTCCTCCTGCAATGTTACACTATCTTGGTCTGTTTCTATTACCCTCCCAATTTTGGTATCGTCAGCAAACACTGAGACATCGCTGTGTACTCCGTCCCCGTCCCCAGTTATTATCTTTTGTATCTCTTCCCTTTAACATTGTAAGCTCTCACGAGCGGGACCCTCCTGACCCTCTTATCTTAATCTGTAATGTAACTGTACTGTCTCCCTTCATATTGTAAAGCTCTGCGCAGACTGTTGACAATATACAAGTCCTGAATAATGATAATAATAATAAAAATACTGAAAAAAGAAATATATCCAAAAAACACCGTTCCAGTTTTCCTCTGATAAGAACCCTAATGAGGTATTACGCAATCATCTTTCAATGGCCTGTTTTCTTAGAAGTTCAAACTGAGAGCTGCTTGCGACTATCCGATTGACTTTGAAGTGGTGACGTCTGATGCCTTCCTGTCACCGTGTCATTGTCATCGGAGGAAGGGGATCCATTCAGCTGATTAACGCCATAACACCAGCATCTTTAGCCATGTTCTTACGTGGTCAGTGTCCTCATTTGCGTCACTTTTCCCAAACAGCAGCCGTGTCTGGCGGGTGTCGTATATTCAGGAGTTGTTATTGTATTATTTTTATTTTGCAAGCAATACCACACTAAATTCAGCTATAACGCTAGTTTATTCCTTTATAAATGTTATATACTAGATTAAAGATCTAATACTCTCTGTTTAGATCATTCAGATTTGGTATGGTATAAAAGGGTTCAATTATAATTTCTACATAACTCCAATGGTGAGATTCCCCCCAGTAGTTTGTGTCTCTGCCCCTCCCACAATGGTGAGATTTCTCCAGTAGTTTGTGTCTCTGCCCCTCCCACAATGGTGAGATTTCCTCCACCAGTTGCTGTCTCTGCCCCTCCCACAATGGTGAGATTTCCCTCCAGTAGTTTGTGTCTCTGCCCCTCCCACAATGGTGAGATTTCCTCCAGTAGTTTGTGTCTCTGCCCCGCCCATAATGGTGAGATTTCCCCCAGTAGTTTGTGTCTCTGCCCCTCCCACAATGGTGAGATTTCTCCAGTAGTTTGTGTCTCTGCCCTGCCCATAATGGTGAGATTCCTAGAAAACCTGTGAAAAGTAAACATGGACTTGATACCTGCTCGCTAGAAATATATATTTTCGGTATTGGATATTTAACTGACTAAGAATAAAAATAAACCAAATAAAATATAGACATGAAGATTATGAATTCCCCTTTAAGTGGAGTGGAAATGGAAGATTTAACATTTGATGAGATAGAAGTATTATAATGATATGGATTATACACACATATTATACAATGGATTCTACCAATCAATGGATCGGGGGGGGGGGGGGCTTCCTACCTGCAGCTTCCTCCATTCTGCGTTAATACTCGGCTCTGGTATGATGACGTCCTCGGGGAAAACACACGGAACATTCTATATAGGGAAAGAAGGAGGAGCCTATAACAGTCAATTGGAAGCAGTACACTTTGATATTTTAGTTGAAGTTATTAAAAAATAGAATTAAAAAAAAAAAAACCAGCACGGGGTCCCCTCTCCAAATCAGGTCTGGTAGGAATGGTAGGGGGGACCCTGATGTAATAAAAATGTGTGGGGTTTCCCAACATATTTATGAAAGGGGTACCCAGATGCAGATGCGCCCCCCTGCCCGCAGATCCCCAAAACCACTGGGTCAGGGTTGAGGGGAAGAGGCCCTTATCCTCATCGGCATGGGGCCAAGGTGCTTTTCCAGAGGGTCCCCCATGGAAAAGCACCCTCCCAATGTCAAGGGCATATGGCCTGGTATGGCGCAGAGAGGGGCGCTCAATCACCCCCTCCCCCCCACTTTCCTGCCCTGCCAAGCCAGTACTCGTATTAAGGGTCTGGTAAGAAATTTTAGGGGGGACCCCCGCGGATTTCTTTTCTGTTTTTTGGGCATTGGGGCCTCCTTAAAATGCCTACCAGACCTAAAGGGCCTGGTATGAATTTTGTTTGTTTACATCAGGGGTCCCCCTAACATTCCTACCAGACCTAAAGGGTCTGGTATGATTTGGGAAGGGGACCCCAAGCTTTTTTTTTTGGTTTAGATTACAGTAACAGTTTCCATTCTGTTGGCTACCTCTGAGGTAGTGAAGCAGAGTGACCGAGCCGAATGCGGCCCCTTGGAGAATAGGGGCGAACAGCAGAGATTGAACTGCCGGACGTTCTCCTCAGCCCACCCATATGTCGCATTGGCTGAGGCGAATGGGCTCTTCTCTTTGGTCCGGCCGAACGCGTGCCGAGGCTGTTCGGCTGAACTGAAGGGAGGTGAAGGGACCCAAATGCAGCCGTTGTATGGCTAAAAATATCCGTACATGGCTGATGTGAATAGCCTAGAGGCTTCGGTTCAGGTCGGTTAGTCATTCGGCTGCCATCTGCTGCTTAGTGAATAACCCCCTATGTCAGTGGTTCTCAACCTTTCTAGGGCCGGGACCCCGTGGTAACGTTTGCCAAGTTGTGGTGACCCCCAACCATAAAATTTAGGGATGCACCAATACTAGTATCTGTGTGGGCTCTCGGGAGGCTATGCGGGCTCTCAGGTGGCTAGTGGGACTCTCAGGTGGCTAGTGGGACTCTCAGGTGGCTAGTGGGACTCTCAGGTGGCTAGTGGGACTCT